GGTGCATGGAATCCGGTCTCTTCGGCGGGACCTGGACAAGGTAACCCTGTGGGAGAATCCTTGTCTGAGATTGCGCTGGCCAGAGAACCTCGCCATGGTGCTTGAACTCGCAAGGCCCACCTGGATGCGTGTGCTCCGCTTCCGCCGGCGTGATATCATGATTGTGGGATGAGAATTGGTGTGGCAGATGAAGGGATGCATATCGCCAGGTGGCGTGATCTGAGTGGCTGAGTTTAGCGGTTGCGTCGATTGAATCGAATGGCAACGGGCGTGTGGCCACGTGTATTGAATGTTGAGGATGTCATCATGGCTTGCCTATAAATACCCAGTTCCTGTTCTCACTCAAGGCCAACGGCGCACAACGGCTCGGGGTGAAGAACAAAAGGAACGACACCAATGCAACAAATCTACTCTCTTTCACTCTGGTACCCCTTAGCTCAGAGAGTGCAGGACTCTTGATAGAGTATATGGGCTTAGAACAATGTCCCGCACACTCTTGAACATAGGATGGCCCAAGATGACACGACGAACATAAGGCCCGCCTGCTATCTCCACGGACGGACTCACCCCGGAATGTGCACCTCGGAGATAGCAGGCAGGCCTTATGTTCGTCGTGTCATCTTGGGCCATCCCTATGTTCAAGAGTGTGTGGGCCATTGTTTTAGGCCCATATACTCTATCAATGTTATTTTTGAAAAACAAATTGAAAAGTTATACTATCCTCCGTTCTATAATTCTTGCAACAGTTTGACTTTCACGTTTGCCAATGCACAACTTTGACTGTAATTATATTTAATTATGTATTAGTAAACATTATAAAAAGTTGATATTTTGGAAATTCACATTGTTAAAAGTTCAATAACATTTTATACGTAATAATTTGATTATGTATATTAGTAGAAAATCATGGTCAAAGTAAGATCTGTAAATAGTGTAAAAATCACAATGTTGCAAGAATTATAGAACAGAAGAAGTATTATTTTCACTTTTAGGCTATTTGTCATAATTTTCTATTTAGTTATCTGAATGAAAGTTGTAGGCCCGTAAGTTAATTTTCATGTGACATAAAAAAAATTCAAATGAATAATCCTATTATGTGATGTGGTGGAGTACGTTTCTATTATGTGTCACAATGGATAGTACTCCACTAAGATATTATTGAAGTTCAACACATATCACATTGACTCGATCAGTTTAGATGACACATTTTGGTTGAAAACATGCCTCCATTAGGATTTGAAACTAAATTTGTTTTTTTTTTCAAATTTTTTTTTTTACTCCAGGGGGATCTGGGGGAGGGGGGGGAGGGGGAGCCTGGAGTAATCAGGGCTGAAACCCACTCCATTGAGTTTCACACCCTTGTGTGCCTAGCGGGATTCGAACTCGAGACCTCCCACTAGGCACGATAACCTCACAACCAACTGGGCTGGAATGCTTGGTTTTTGAAACTAAATTTGTTATCTTCATGAAAGGTATAGGCCTTTGAGTTAACTTTCTAGTGATATAAAAATGAGTTTACGAGCATATATAATGTGTAGAAATAATTGCAGATATCACTAGTAGAAAATTGCTCTATAGTGATGTTAATTTATTGAGAATTTACCCAAAATAGGACTAAAAAGGTTTGGAAATTCCAAAATAGGACTGACATGTTTTTTATTTCCAAAATAGGACTAATTACTGCCATGTTTTGGCAGTACCAGACTTCAAACATGACAGTATTTTCCAAACTTGGCAGTAATCACTCCTATTTTGGGAATAAAAAACATGACAGTCCTATTTTGGAATTTTCAAACTGTTTTAGTCCTATTTCGGGAACTTTCCCTAATTTATTGTCATTGAACATTTACATAACACCAGAAAATGTCCACAAAAAGTGATACAATATAGTATCACTATATATTATGATATAGTTGTATCGTAAAACTCTTTGATGCAAAAGTCATAAATATAACTGATATAAACAACAGGAATTTTAGGACATTTTCATTCATAATTTAAGTTGTAATTAAATAGTTCAAAATAAAAGCATTCATAATTTATATAGCAAGTCAATATTACTAGTAATAAATAACAGGAATTTTAGGACATTTTCATTCATAATTTAAGTTGTAATTCAATAGTTCAAAATAAAATCATTAAAGTGGAGTAACTTCACAATATCCAACTTTATACAAGTATAAAAGGCTTTTAGGCCATCTAAAGATGGAGTACACATTAGACAATTACTACATAGGTACTTGATGATATTTAATGGTGCCTTCAATGTATTAGTATCCTCTCAATGTCATGACTCTTTGCTTAGTTATGGATCAAGAGATGTAAATTTTTGCATAAGCTTTGATAATGATCTGTTAGTGAATAATCTTTCTAATAAGTGCAGACTTTTTCACTCAAAATAAGACAAAAACATAAAAATACGTTGCGCTCATCTACATACCTATAAATTAAAAGATAGAGTCAAAACCAAGCAACTCTCGACAGAGTTATTGCATCAATAAAGTATTTAACTTTGAACAACCAATTCAATAATAAGTTATGAATAGCCAAAATATATTGTTTACAAAAGAAATTCAAGCATGTCTAAAGCAAATGAGAAATTTCTAGTTTTCTTGTGAAGATATATTAAACCACATTAGAATTTTCAATTGTTTAGTCTTGAATGTATGATCTACGGATCAAAAGTGAACAATTTGTTTTTTTATTTTATTTTTAATCCATGAGGAAAGCCAAACTCTTGAGCCCATTAAATTATTCTTTAGACTTTTTATTTGGGGATCTTATACGTATTAATTAAAAGGGTAAGCCATTTTCTCATATATAATGACAAGAGAAAAAGAGCAAGCAGATAGAGTGAACATCAGAAAACTTGAGCCT